TTATTAGCATGATTTAGGCTAATTTTCAGTTAAGTAGTAAAACCTTGCAGTAGTGCATGGTCAACTTTGTCAAATTCAGGTCTCGTTCAATAGCAAGGATCGCGATGCTTACCCTAGGGTTACCAAAGATGAATAGGAACATTTTGAAATACTGCAACCAGGTAGTAACTTTAGGAAGCTAGACTTTGAGCCTAATGTGTCAATAGTATCACGTCAGCATTCGATCAAATCTGAATAGCTAGAAATCTGTTCTTCCTAATAAAGGACAAATGTAAGACGTTGACAGTTATATGCAGTATAAGATTTTGTAGGTGAAAAAGGTAATTTGTTTGTAAAAGTCCATGACAACATAAAAAAAGCTCAAACTTTACTGCTTACGACGTAGATTATGTGTGTTACTTCTTTTTACGCACATCTTTGATGTAATTGTGACTAAAACTAGTTACCTTTACAGTGTGCTCTTCTAGCTGTCATATAGCTGGCTTCCAGCTGTAACTGCACAGACAGCAGAAAGATTAGCGACATTTCAGGGATAACTGCAGAAGCAACCAGGAACAAACTGCTGTCAAATGCACAAAGCATGCTGTGGTATATCTCTCCATAATGTGTTGGTTATTGGAAACCCAAACTGCTGAAATCCCAAGTGTTGTGATAATAATTAGAGAGATGCAGTTTTTGTAGCCTTGAAACTGAAGGAATGTAGGAAGTATAAGCCCCCAAAGGCATGTGGCATTTCTTAAAATAGCTTGCCGGTTGCTCCTCAGATTTGGAGTGTGTGTACGTGTGTAGCAGTCTCACCATACTTGGAGTTTTCTTTACAAGATGCACAGAGAAAGTGAAATATAATCGCTTCCTTATGTTCCCAGAGGGGGAAGTACTAGATTTCAAATCTTTTCTATGTGTTTGTGGTTGTATCTAATAAATCAGGAATTTTAATTGTTGTCTTTAATCTATGGTAAGTGTTTGGAATAGTGTTTATTGAAGAGTGATTTGAGTATTTTGCTCTTTAAAGAGCTTGAAGTTTACAGCAATGTACTTTTTATGAGGGAGGCACTTTAATATAAACCAGATGAAAGCATGATTATTTTAATAGCAAACTTTAAAGTTTCCATTATGTTCTCATTGCTTTCTCTGACTGAATGCAGAAATGATTGGAAGGCTTAACTCACCTGCTATCCCATCTTTAGACCTGTTCAGTAATTGTATTTCCATGTTTATTTTTTGAGTAAGCAGTGTATGAAAATAATTTTGTCATTCAACTCCAGAGTCTTAGGTGGTTTGTATAAACAGCTTGAACATCATATAAATAATGCTTAAAGCCGACACTTAGTGTATATCTAAAACAATACAGTGTGCTTCCTTTTAAAGACCAGGGCTTAAGGCTGTTTTGTAATTTTACTGGATTTGCCTCTGTTGAGGTAGGAAAAGAGCGTTCTGTGATATTCTTCAAAATTCCACTATGGATGGCTTTTGAAGGCATTGCTGCTCCCTCTGTGGAAGGCGTTGCATCTGCCTGGGCTGGGTGTTCAGTAGGAGTGTACACGAGAGAATGTTTTCAACCAGGCAGGATTTTTCTGAGTATTGTGTAAACATGTATAGGTAAAATCAGACAGACACAGTTTCATTATAAGCGTGCAGATTAATGAACATTATAATTATATGTTCATTATAAGAACAACTTTCTTCTCTGTTCCCTTCCTTCTAATCATACAGCCATGAGCGTATTGTGATAGTGCGTGATTAGAACAGCGTCCAAAAATTCTGACCCATCTTTAGATTCAGTGCACTGTGTGGCTCATGCAGAAAGATGCATACACGTGCAAACTGCCTGTGGGTTCGTTAACCTGCATTGCGCCAGGCTCACTGCACCCCTGTGGTGCTGTTGTCTTTTGGGGGGCTTAGCTGCTTGCTTGGGCTGTTGGAAGTTGTGCAGAAGGACGCTGTGTCAATGGCGGAGTGAACGTCTATGCTCTTAACCTGCCTTTCTGCTCTCTTGCTAAACTGATGCTGGACACTAGAAACCAGTATCGTGCTCTTTGGATTTTTTTTTTTTTTTTGGCCTTACTACACAGGGGAAAAAAGGAAACATTCCCAAGCAGACTGTTGGGCTGTAGGGTCAGTTTTTTTGTATCTGAATGCTGATATTTTTTCCTAGGGCTTTGTAGACTGAGGAGGCTTTGTGAATAAACCTTACAAAAATGCCTGGAGATAGGAGGAGGTAACTGCTGGTGGAAATTATTAGGGCCTATTTGTGTAAAATCTGTTTTATTAGAAAAGTGGACCTAATATATGATCTAAGGAGAGGAGGATTTAAGGAGAAAATGCAGTCTCCATCCTGCAGGAATTTTGATTGTAATTTCAGACATACGGGTGGTTCTCTTGACTTAAGTAAAGTAACTCACATGCCTGAGGTTAAGCATGTTTATTTGCAGAATGTGGTTTTGGCATTAAGAAACAGATGCTTTTAATACAGTAAGGAACAATATATGGAATAGGTTAAGTAGCATTTCTGTGCTAGTTGAATTGTATAAGCTTTATGCAATTTGTTTAATTATAGAAATAATAGGACTTAATGTTATTAAGTAGAATGTCTTTTTGCATCTGCTATGAATTAAATCTAAGTGGAAAAATAATCCTGTTAATGATGCTTGGTATTTCTAAGTTACTACGCAGATTTAAAGTACTAGCACTCAAGAGTAGTCTGGCTTTGAAAGTCTGTTTCAAATGTCTCTATAAGCACAATTAATGCTGTACTTGAAGCCTGGATACATGAGCATGCAGTATTGTTTTGAAAGAAAAAAATCTGCAAGTAGTCTGGTATGTCTTGTTTCTTTTGGAGAAGTTAAGTTTTGGACATAGGTGCTGTAAATGTAGTTTCCAAGGACGACAAACCTACCCTGTTACTTGAAGCCAGAATTTTTTTTGGAGAGACAAGTAACAAAAGGATGAATTCTAACATTTCAGCTACTTGATTTGCAGCAGCATCTTTTAAAGCTGAAAAGTAGCAAACTGATGAAATGTAAAATGAAGAAAAAAATAGGGTGCTGACAGCATGCCATTTGCCAAAATATTGACATGTACTCAATAACAGTGATATGTTGTGTTTTGTTGGGGTTTTTTTGCTTTTCTCCCCCTCCCCCCTTGTTTTTTCTTTTGTTTGTTGTTGTTTGGTTGGGTTTTTTTATAAGAAAAATCACTTGAGTATGCCCCAATGTGGAGTGTGATTTAAACACTAAGGACATAATTCACTAAGACTGCTTAGTTCTTAGTTCCAGGCTTCCAAATAGGTTCTTTTCTGCCCTTGTAATATTCATGCATTTCCTTAAGGTTTTTGGTTTTGTGGTTTGTTTTTTTTAAACATTTAAGAGCAAAGATATTCAACTTCTTTTTGTGCTTATTGGCCACTCGGCTTTTTCCTGTACTAGTAAATCATGTGCTGCTATTCCCCCTCCACTATTCCATAACATAGGCATAACAATTCTGTAACGTGTGCAACATAATCTTTAGCATATCTGTAACAAATTCAACACTTCTGGGATGCATTAAGCAACTGCGTATGCATAAAATAAATGTTTCAAGTGCATGCAGTAAATTTGTGTAGTTCCAGCATTGCTGGACTAACTGCATGTGCTTGGTGCAGGTTTTCTGCGTGTGTATTGGAGGCACAGCCATTGTGGGGTGCCAAACCCACTGCACAGGTACAAAATGATTGTTTTGCATATATACAACATATCTGATGTGTGTGGCATCATTTGGGACTTACTGCTTAAGGAAGTTACGGAACGGGGTAGAGGAAGATGTCAACTTACAGAAAGTTGTAGCTACTTTCAGATAGGTTTAAAAATGCTCTACCCCCAGCCCAAGGAACAGCCTTGGTCAGTGAAGTATATACGGTTCACAGGCTGCAGATTGATCAACCCTAATTTAGAGCTCATAGTGCTACCTTGCAGTTAGATAGCACAGATATTTAAACCCAACAAAAATACTGTTGGGGTTCACATGTATGTAGAGAGGTCCAAGCTGTACTGTTTAAAAGGTATAGCACGTGCATAGTACAATTATCCTATGGTCCTATGAATTAAATTTTGTGCTTTAATTGATGAGGTTAAGTATTTATATTCTCTTTTTAAAACTGTACCTGCATTTTAAAACTCACCTCTGGAGGCCATCTTGCAACCCCCCTGCACAAGCAGGGCCACCTAGAGCCGGTTGCCCAGGACCACGTCCAGATGGCTTTTGAGTATCTCTAGGGATGGAGACTCCACAACTTCTTTTGGCAACCTAAAGTGAATTGATAAATCACTTTATCGTTGACAGTTTAGGCATGAAATCAGCGTAATAGAATAATAATGTATCTGTAGTATTTCCCCCTGAAAAATTTCTAATGTAAAAACATAAGTACTGATTGAAAACAGAAGTCTGTCTAGCCTAATATCCTGTCTTCAATAGTTTCTGTAAACAGATGTGTAAGGAAGAACAGGACATTCACATGAATGCTTCCAGTTTTCTGAGCCTTTGGTGTTTTTCAGCTTGAGATCATTCTGAGCCATGTTTGGTTCCTGTTGAACTAGCAAGTGCTAACAAGTTTTTCCTCTGTATTTATCTAATATCCTTTTGAACTTTTAATGTTCTTTGACATGAATATTTTGCACACATGCAAATATCTTTGCATATTCAGTACATTGGCAAGCAGGAAACATTTACTGAATGGAAAACAATCTCCTTTTCTCTGTTTTGAATTACACTCCTCTTAGCTTGAAAACTCTTGTGCCATAGTTATGTCACAAAAGAGAGCAAACAGTCCCTTCCCTTTTCACCTCATTTGAGCTGTTCTGCTGATTTATACCTCCTTGCATATTTTAGTCACTCAGAAACATGCAGTGTATTCTGTAATGCAATTTTCAGAGGTTTTTTGTGGGGGGGAATCTTATTTTAATGTTAAAGTGATAAATTTATTTCAAAACAATGCTGACTAGTTACTTTTTTTTTCTAAAGCCTAAATTGTACAGGTCTGTAATTGAAGATGTCATCAATGATGTCAGAGAAGTTTTTCTGGATGAAGGAGTGGATGAACAAGTTCTTATGGAACTCAAAACAGTAAGTTGCAACTTACAAGTTTTTTTTTTTAATAGACCAATACAGCAGTTGGTTTTCGGGTCTGCTTGCTGTTGTACACAGTAAAACCACTAATTTTTAGTTAGCTAAGCATTGTATTAATCTGCGTATCGGTAGCCCCATATCATTTGAGTTACACTGCTGTATAGAGAGATCTGCTCACCTTGTTTACTTCCCCAATCTGGCATGTCAAAATTGACATAAACTAACGGCAGGCATCTGAATTCACAGTGTTATTTCAGTCCCCGAAATGTTGTATCCTTAAAGAAAGGGGAGAATATTTTTTTTTTTGAGGCAGACAATTCTTAAGGTTTCTCTGCAGGAAAAATAAAATGCCTGCTCTGCTTGATGTTTTTGTCTTTCTGAAGAAGAGGAGTTGCATTGTCGGATGCATTGTCAGATATTTGCACGTATGGTTTTTGGTTTGCACAAGTATTGTTTTTGGGGGGTGGTACGTAATAAATTGCACTGTGTGCATCACACTTTTCTGAAGCTCTCAATCAGAACTGTTTTACATACAGTGGGTTTGAACTGTTACCAAGGGTCCAAAAGAAAGGCAGGATGTTGACCTGAGCTCTAATGCGTCTCCTATGGCTTTCTTCAGATTCTTCCTGAGTAAAAGAAGCCCTTCAAAAGGGAAAAGGCAGGGGGAAAAAAAAAAATGGAAGAAATAAAGTAAAAGGAAACTGGGAAAGTAGGTGCCTGCTTATCTCAGCTGTTGAATAAGGACTTCTTCAGAAAGCCAGACGGCCCGCACTCTCAGTATTTTTGAAGTATCAAAAAAAGGATGGAGTGGGAAAGGAATTTTGAGTTTGGCTAGACAGAAACAGGTGAAGACTTTTTTCCATGAACCCGTGACCTGGCTTGGTGGAAACGGAGTGAGTGCTATAAGAAAAGCACCTTGGTGTTTGTGTCACAGATGTGTTCTGCAAATGATGTCAGAAAAGATTGAATGAGGAAAGAGACAATAAGGAAAACAGAAGTATTGAAGAGGAAGGCTTAGGGAGAGCCCTAAGCAGGATTTGAAATCAGGAGTCCTGGGTGCCTGTAGTCTTTTTGACTCTGATCTATTACGAATACTTGTGTTGCTGTCTTTCTGCAAGAGCTGCTTTTTTTGCATCTGTGGCTTTTCTTGGGAGACATGTCAGCTGACATCAAGAACTGAAGGGCTGGAGAAGCTGAATTTGATACTGTGGTATCAACTGTGTAAATGCTTGTACAGAGGCATTATCTTAGGTATACTGGTAGTTTCTGTTGAAGTGTGTTATGAGGCAGTAGTCTTCAAGCAACTTTATTGAGGAGTTCCAAGAAGAAATGGCTTGAGGAAAGCTGTAATAAAGAATTATTTTTGTGATTAAAGAGGTAAGAAAGAAAGAAGGTAGAGAAGTGAAAACTTGAAGGCTAGCTTAAAGTTACCAGTTTATCTCTATTCATGCTTCTATTAGGGTTGTTACGAATCTTCCACACTTGGAAGAAAGAAAGAATGTTAAAGCTTAATCTTGGACTGACAATTCTTAAGGGATATTTAATTCCTCTTCTTAAAACATTACCTCTGTGGAGTTCTCTCTTCAGTCTGTATTTGCCTAAAGGCTTTTTGGCTAAGTAGACTGCACAAGATAAACAGTGGAAAAAAAAATTTGATTTTGGAGTACTGTCTTTATATTGTTACAAATCCTGTTGAGGAAAAATTGTACACAGAGATTTCTCTTTCCTTTTCCAAACTAGCTGTGGGAGAACAAGCTGATGCAGTCCAAGGCTGTAGATGGCTTCCATTCAGAAGAGCAGCAGCTTTTGTTGCAGGTGCAACAGCAGCAACAGCAGCAGCAGCAACAGCAGCATCATCACCACCACCATCACACACAACCTCAGCCGCAGCAGACTGTGCAGCAGCAGTCTCAGCCACAACAGGTCCTTATTCCAGCGTCTCAGCAAGGTCAGACTTACTCTCTAATCTCTGGCAAAAGACTCTCAGGTTAGACCAACTCCTTAGCATATTCTAAATCCAGGGCAGGATGTTTATATGATGGATAACTTTGTGTCTTTATGTTAAACTTTGTCTCTACTTGCCTCTATTTAATGGGTCAAGAGAGCCGTCTTGGCGAAAAATATCTTGGTATTTGTGTTAGTCATATTCTTCAGAAGATTTTGGAAAAACTGAATTCTTCTCTTGGTCTTCTACTATGTAACTTAAGTTTTCAGAATACATGACTTTCAGATTCTGTCAAAAATCCTTTAGCAGCTCTGTAATTTCAAGCCAATATACATACGCAGTTGGCAATTTAGTCACGAAGTAGTAATGTCATTAGGAGCAAATTAATTTTAAAAATTTGGATGCTAGGACGTGAAAAATACTTGTATAACAGTCTGAGTATATGTAGGAGATGGTTTTTCATGTTAGAACAAGTTTCAAGTGAAAAGCATAATGGCTGAGTGTTTTTGTGGTCTTATTGCACACTGTGTAGGTGTGGATGTTCAAGGTATATTTTAGCTAGCCATAACAGTATTGTTTCTTATAATTAGTGTCTTGTGTATTCTCCATTAATAATTTAAGGGAAACATTTTCACCAATTTCAATTTCATTTGAAAACTAAGATAAATACTACTGGATTTTACTGCATATATGCTGTGTAAACAAATCTGCCACCTGTGAAATGCTTGAGTTGAGTTTTCAGTGTGCTATTAAAATTGTGGCATAAAATATTTATCTGTGGTAGTCAGTCACAGACTTCAGTCTTTTTATCAGATTTCATGGATCAGAACCTATGTTGTCATAGGCACAGAAGAGAGCTATGAGTTGGTTTCCCCACCCCCACCCTCCAAAAAACCCCCTAAAACCCAACCACCATATATTCAAAACAGAAGAGAACTAGTGTGACAAGAACTTGTTGTTGGGGCTTTTTTTCCTTGGTGTGTTTTTTGGGGGTTTTTTGTTTGTTTTGTTTTTTTCTTCTTATAGTACTTTGTATTTTGGCTGGGTATAAATCAGTTTCATCTGTTGGGATAAAATTCATTTTGAGATTAAGACCCCTAAATACACGTGCCTTCAAATGATCCAGGTGTCTCAGCTTAAGTTACAGTCAGCAGAGCCTGGAAAGTCTACTCACCAAGACCTCTAGTGGCCCCTTATGGGAATAGCTGTGACTCCACTGACCAGGTTTCCCTCCACTAATATGGAGGTCCCTGTCCTCCTGTTTGTGTCTTAGGGTAGAATAAGATCCTGCCTACAGTAATACACTTAAAACTGATTTATTGTTGCCCAGTGTTGTGGCTTATGACCAAATGACAGTGTGGAGGCTAAATGAAATTAGGATATCAAAGCACTTTAATCATAGATACGCAGTTTTATGAATTACTTGACTTCCCTGTTCCATGGGGGAGATGATGTAGTAGTTCCTTGCACGACCTGGTGCAGCCCTAGAGAGAGATCAGGACAATCAGCATGGGGATTCCTGCTGTTCTGTGAGTGGTCCTGGCACAGGGTCACGAGATTTCGTTGGGCTCTTTTACCCTCCCTAGGTTCCCTGAAAGTTGGAGAGATGACCTCAGATCTTGGTGCAAGGTTGTGGGGCTTCCCTCCCCAGAATCTTTTCCTGAAACTCTGTTATCCCCAGTATTCTTAAGTGTCCTTGGTTATAGGATTGGATGGAGAATATCTTGTCGATGATTAGTTTGTTCAAAATTGCTCTGTCATTTTCCAATTTACTGTCACTGGTATTAGCACTGGCAACCTGCTTGTTCCATAGACTTGGACACTTTTGCACTTCTAGATGATTAACAGGTTGTTTGCATAGTTTAGCTATCTATTTCCTTTAGCACACCAAAACTGTTTCATTGTTTGGGACATGTGGTTGATCACATTTCATCTGCTTCTGCTACATTAGAAAGATAATGAAAAACATGAGCTTATGCTAACAGCTGTGCTAACTAGACCTAACTCAAGCTAACTGCTGCATCCTGTTAACGTACTCTTCATCTTGCAAAAATCCTTGCTTAAGTCTGTTTTAAGAGTTAACCACTGTCAATTGATGTTTTTGGAGAACTCTCATAGTGGACATCAGCAAGTTAATCAACACTTCACTAACACCTTTAATTTCAGAAATGTGTTTTAAGTCTTGCTTTATGTAGGGTCACAATAGGTAACTGAAGCCCTTGAAATAAGATCTGTAAAGCCGAAGTAGCCATATCGCCTCTCAGAGCTGCTGTTGTATATTGTCTTGAGAGTAAAACTCAGTAAGATCAGAGACTGCTCAGTAGCTGTTTTTGTTATGAAGCTCAGCTGATGTTTGGGTGATGTCCTTTCTAAGTTATTCTGGCTTGGGTGTTATTTTGGGCAGACTGCATAGTTTTCATGAAATGCTATTTTTTTTGTTTCTAGCACCTCAGCAGCAGGTTATTGTGCCAGATTCCAAGCTGATACCGCACATGAATGCATCGGGCATGGTAAGAAAAGCAGAAGTTTATACATGCATACACTGTCATTATGTAAGTTGTTTTGATTAAATAGTAAACACAAGTCTGGTATAAGTCATCAGATGCTTAAAAGTAATTTAGGGGACACTGGTAAAGCTGTCTGTCATCTCTCTGAGTTTTGCTGCTGCACTGACAATCTAGGAACAGTAGTCCAGGACTTTAGTTTTGATAACAAATCTAGGACTTACCTTGATCCTCTGCTTTAAATGTGTTTAACTGAAACTGTTTTTTTAATCGGAAATTGGAGTACTGTTGATATGAATCTGCATGATGATGTGCTTGTTATATACCAACACAACACTATTAACTGATGCAAGCATACTGTATTTGCTAGATGCAGGAAAAAACATTAACTGCTCTGAAACTTAAGCTTATATCAAATGAGAGATTACTTAGCAATTCACATCAGTCTTTTCTGGTCACATTAATTTGATTCACTAATTTTGTAATAGTATATAAAACTGAGTCTGGTCGTTTACCCTTTTCTTGCAGTTTTTATCTCTAGAGGTTAATTTTGGTTATCTTATCTTGCTTTAACGCCCTGGCTTAATTAAAAAAAAAAAAAATTGCTTGCAAAGCGATGAAAACAACAGCTAATACAAGTTAAATATGTGTATTAAGACCAGAATTCATTGCATTCTTACCACTTTTATGGTAAAAGCACATGAAACAGTTTCATGATTGGTCAAAACTGCAGCAGCTTGCTTAGCCTTCACTTCTCCATTACCTGCTGACCTTATTATAGAAAAGAACCTGAACTTCATTAGTCAAACAGTGTGATTTACCCAGAGGCCGAGAGCACATTAACATCTACCTTTTTCTTACATGTTTTACAACCATGTCAATGTGATTTGTAACTTCCCAAGTCCAACAGTTAAACTTTTTTTTTTTGCTATCTCATTCAGTTAGATCTTGATGGGTATTTCAAAAGTGAGTATGCCATGCTTTTAAAACTGCTGCTGTCAAAATGTAATGAAGTGTGTACTGCAGAAGACTACTGTTCAGCAAATAGTTACATAATTGATTTGGAATTATTGTTTGTGTTCATTAGAAACATTTAAGTTGGTACTAAAGAATGGACCTGACAGACCTTGAATATCTTGGAAGGCAGAGAGTAATGAGAGTTTATTCAACTGCCTTTGTCTGGGATGTGAGGATGCAGACAAGCACTTTTCAGTTTTGCTTGGTGATCTCTAATTTTGGCAGTTGTAACTACTATATTGACCAGCCGATATGGGGAGATCATATTTCTTATAAACATGAAGTATGCACTCTACCCAGTAATAAAGTTTAAATCCTTTCAGTAGCAAAGAGTAATAGGCCATGGTTCCTTTATAGTGGGGAAAGGGAGGCTTTTCCATAGGCAGCTGAAGTTAGACCCTTGAAATGGAGAGGCCCCTGGAGAAGTCCATCTCCCTCTGCGAGTTAAGGACGTAATGCAGATTTTTGTGTTTGGAGCTCCCATAATTGTGTTGGAATTCAGTTTCCTTGTAAGTTCAAATCATTACCCATTGAGAGTCTTTGGCTTTCTCTTCTAACCAGCTGTCTTGAGAGGAAAAAATTAGTCATTCTGTGAACAGTCAGTTCACTGTATGCGTATATTCACTCAGAAGAGCTGTGTCATGTGGGACTTGAAATGCAAATCATTTACAGAATGAAGAAAAGTGCAAACCTGATTACTTCTCCTTGTTCTCACAAGACAGGCGAACATGATTGTTCCTTCAGTACCTTATGTTTCTTCAGATTTGTAGGCCTATATCTTTAGCTGTTTTGAAAAAGTGTTAAGTAAAAGTGCCACATGAGCAATGCAGTGTTGTACTCTAGTAGTAGCTCAGCAGAGAAGGCAGAGGAGAATAAAAATCTGCTGAGCTTGCAGATAAACCAAGAAACCACGTGGAGCTGGGTTAAGGTGTGATGCTTAGTGATTGTTGCTTCAGCCTTCTTCCTATTAAGGAAGAAGGAAAATAATTTTTATATGTAGCATAATGTACAGTTGATTAATGCCGGCATTTCAATAGCTGCAGAAACTTGTTTGCAAACATTGTGAACAGCAATAAAAAGGTATATATTTTCAGGCAGCATGTTGTGAGATGAAACACTGGCAATAAAACCTGTGGTTAAAAAGCTTTTCTTGTATTTCAGAGTGCTGCAGCCACTGCAGCTACGTTGGCTCTCCCTGCTGGCGTTACTCCTGTTCAGCAGATACTTACAAATTCAGGTAACTGTCTTAATATTGAGATCAAACAAAAACAAATGGTTTTGAGGGTGCTTGGGAAGGAGAAATTCTGTGTTTTACTCCCGGCTATATATTGTTTAAAGGCAGAACCTGGGCATCCACCCTTACAAGGTGTAGTGCAGTCTCTTCACTAGTGGACTCCTGGACTCTCTTGCTCACTGACTTGCTGGTCTTGCGAACCTTATGGTTCTGACCTACAGTGGTGTGGGTTAGATTCTATGCAGGTTTTTCCCCACTTTTAGAGAAGTGCATGAAGCAAGAAGACAGGCTTTGCTGTCCCTCACCTTAGCGTATTTCTGAGCTTTGTGATGCATGATCTGAGCACAGATACTAGACCGGTTATAAAAAAGAGCAGGATCGCTTCATCTGTGACTTCAGATGAGGAATGTCTTAAGGTTTCTCGTACCTGCTAAGCACACACAGTGGAATTTCTAATTTTGCTGGCAATGCTAATTTTATTTTAGATTTACCATTTTTAAATACTGTCATGCTGTACACTTAGAATATAATTAAATGTTACTTTTATGAACAGCATATCTGATGCTTCATGTACTTTTGTATTATGCTGATTTTATAAGCTTGATTCTAGACCTATTGTGCGTGGAGAGTAAAGGAAGATCTGAGAAAGCTCATTTTCTAGAATCAGTTGCTGCTTTGGCCACAGTAATTCATCTAGTCTGCTCAGAATCACCTGGGACTTAACCTCCTTGCTTTAAACATTTGAATGTTTAATGGATATGTAGTTGGAATAAAATTTAAATGTGTAGCCGTTCCAGAAACTCAAATCTTTCCAATTTTGAAGGAAGCACATCTACGTTTGTCATAGTGTAGAATAATCTGCGGCTTACACTTGTTACTTTTGTTATGGTCATAATTTTTTTCTTCAGTTACAAATACTTATAGTATGTTTTCTTAAACAAGGGGCTAGGGTAGTCCCTTCTTTCAGATATACTTAGTTATTTCCGCAAATAGGGCTTTGCATTTTGTTGTGGAGGGAGAACAGGAAATAAAATCAGTCTTTGGGGGAAACGTATGAAGTTCAGGATTATCTAATTTAATTTCTTCTCCTCCTCCATCTTTCTGATTAGAAACGTAAAAAACTAATGTTGGAATATGTCTTAGCTCTTGCTTTTCAGAGTTGGGGCCATCTCCAAAGGTGTGTGAGTCTTAGACGTATTTTGTGAAGGTATAAAATGATAAAGCTATAGGATAATAAAAGAAAATCGAGTACGCGCATTATGGGAATAGAAAGGAGAGGTGGATAATAAGCGTAAGGATAGATTTTTCAAAAAGGCAACTGCACAATAATATTGCAAAGAAAGTTATGCACAGAGGAATTTCTTGTAATGTGGTAATCGGATGGAAAAGAATCTGTGGAAGGGACATCATCTGACAGGACCCTGGAAATACCACAGTGTTAGCAGTGGATAGAATTTTTGTGGTGTGAATACCTGTATTCCTATTTTGGTATATGTTCATTTGTCTTTCTATCTGTAATATCTATCTTTTGAAACATGAAGTATGTTCATAAGTGGGAGCTAATATTTAAAATACTCTGCTGTGTTAAAGGATTAGACTTTGACTTGCATATGTAAATTTATTTTTGGATTGCATACCTCATGATCATATTTAGATGGTAAACAACTCTATTAGTTCTTTGTTTCTGACACAGCTGCTATAGCATAGTGTCTTTTCACTGGTGAAAGTGAAACATAAATGCTCTTCTTTAATTGTCATTGGTGTTCTTCCAGGAAACAAGCTTCAGATCATTTTAAAGGTGAATTTCTACATTTGATTAATTTGATATTTATTTTATTACAGGCCAGATCCTCCAAGTAGTTAGAACTGCAAATGGAGCTCAGTATATCATTCAGCCACAGCAGCCAGTTGTTCTACAGCAGCAGGTCATACCGCAAATGCAGCCTGGCGGAGTACAAGCACCTGTTATACAGCAGGTAAAAAAAAATTTTTGAATAGGTACACTTGAAAGAAAAAACGTTAGTGATTACTAGAGAGGCTTGCATTTTTGTGAGCAAGTTGAAATAGAACACAAAGTCAGAAATGGTATACTAAAAAAAAAAAAGATATAATTGTGTTAAGTATGTTTTTTAAAAATGAACCATTTTGAAATGTCGTTTTCAATGTCACTTTTATTCTTGCCAAATTCTGACTGGCTGCAGTTTAAAATTTCTTTTGTGCGTCCCCTGATGACAATTATGTTATGTGCATGATCCTAGTCTACATCCTTTTAAAAATGTGTTTATCGGTTAAAATGATTCTGTGTCACATAACATATAGAAGAAAATACTGAAAACAAACACACATACACCCCTTGGTTATTTTAGTAGTGAATACAGTATGTTTTACGAGGATTTTTGTTCAGCTACAAGGTCAACTGTGTGTCCAGACTGCATAAGCATTGAATTTAGCGGTGTCACAGTTTTGCAGTTTAAACATGAATAGCAATTTGTAGAGAGTTTAAAGTTAAATGTTTTATAGAGAAGGTTTAAAAATAATCTTTTCTTGAATTTAAACATTCCTCTGCTGTGGTTGGAACTCGGGTGTGGTGGTAGTGCTAGCGTTTTAGAATGGGAAAGTAGGTTTTCTTAGATTTAGCAATGCAAAATACAGAAAATGAACACCGGGTAGTGAAAGAAGGTATGTTATTGAAGATTAAATTATTTAGCTGTTATAGGTGAAATGTTTGTAACTCTTGTTTCTCTAATTAGTGCAAGTCAGATTGATATGCTTTAATTGTTTTCTGTGTGTAAGTGATGTGGTGGTCTGTTATGTTAGCAGCCACAGTACTTGCAATGATATTCCATCAGGTTTTGGCTCCTATCCCGGGAGGGATTTCCCAGCAGACAGGAGTGATTATTCAGCCTCAGCAGATCCTGTTTACAGGAAATAAGACACAAGTCATACCTACAACAGTGGCTGCCCCTACACCAGCTCAAGCACAGATTCCTGCAGCTGGTCAGCAGCAACCACAACAACAACAGGCACAACCACAAGCACCACTTGTTCTCCAAGTTGATGGAGCAGGGGACACATCTTCTGAAGAAGAAGAGGATGAGGAAGAAGACTATGATGATGATGAAGAGGAAGACAAAGAAAAAGATGGGGGTGAAGATGGCCAAGTTGAAGAGGTAAACCACACTATTTCAGAAGACTGGAGCATGCTTGCGTTTCATTTTAATTGTTTTGCAATATTTGAAAGAAAACTGTATGCTTCAAATAGTATTATATTCCAACAATTTTGAGAATATAACTTTTATCCTTGTACTTCAAGTTTTTTTTATTTCCCATATTGAAGTTGTGGAAACTGTGTGTATTAGTAAAGCACCTTGAAATGCAGCTGGGGAAGGCGGGGGGCACAGCAAAAACTGTTAATTGTTGTGAATGCCCTTTTAAAAACTTCAGCAGTAATATTTCTGATATTATGGAGAGGTCAGCCATAAAATTATGAAACCTTCATAAGCAAACAGAAATAGTCAGCTCCACTTGGGACTAAGTGCATACAAAAGCAAGGTGTTAAGAAGATTGACAAAAAGGAGAGCAAATACTTAGTTCACTGAGGGGACCAATAGATGTGGTCTGACCTGTATCTCACTGATACTCCGTTGCTTTCTGTTATGCTAGAACAAGCCTGAGAACTCAAATTTGATTATAAAGCACCTTCTAGAAACACATCTGACCTTGATTTAATGAAATCGGGAGATAAGAGCAGGAGTGAATAGTCTTCGTAACTTGTTGCATTCTTGACAGTATGTGCTTAATTTAGACTTTGATTTTGCTTGATTTTGGACTTGAGCCAGTGGTTCTTACTAAGTTTTGGTGTGTTGCACCAAAAGCCTTACAAGAATAAGAAAATTAAAAAAAAAAAAAAAAAAAAAAAAAAAAAAAAGGGTGGGCGGGGGGGGAGGGATACTAATAAGCTAAAAGTACTGTTACTTCAGTCTCTGACAGGAAACTTGGTACTCCCTAAATCTATCCCTAAAATGCATTTTGAACTGCCAGATCACTTCCACAGTTCTCTGCAGCCTGTCCAATTATTTTAAGATTCCATTTAAAATGCCAATATGAGGAGCATATGTAGCATTTCACAGTCTGTATCACTCATGCAGTATATGCAGGTAAAAATTCCAATTTTTATCAAGGAATTAAATCAGGTTTTCTATAGTACATCTGCAGTGGTGTCTAACAGTATTTTTCTGTTACAACTTACAGGTTGGGTTCACATCACTTTTCCATTATATTGATCAGCACTGATATCAGTTTGAATGTTTTAATAGTTGCTTTATTAAGTATAGGTCGTCATGCTTAAATATTAAGTGTTCTTTAATAGTGCCTTAATGCTAGCATTCTTGTGGAAATTTTTTTATATGCCAAGACTTTTATTACCAGCATGCCAGAGATCTGTTATTTTTGCTACCTTTGTTCATCAGCAGTTACTTAATGAGCGGACCAGTTCCTTAAAACTTTTGAAGTCACTTAAATATAGCATTACTTCGGAAGGAATTGGGACCTTGAGTACACCTTTTTCTTCTCTCACTAGCATCTCCCCGTTTAGCTTATATATTTGGGAGTGGGTGGGAAGATGAGGATTATACAGAAGACTTCAGAAAAGTTGTTTTGCGTTCATTAGAGGTTGTTTTAACTTTTGAAATGTTTGTTATTTACATGAGATGAAAAAAACCCCTCAAATTTCTGCTGGAACAGTGTTGGCAGAAAGAGGAAGAAAATAAAGTAATTTTTAAGGGACGTGAAAATACATTCTAGAAGGTCTGAAGAAGTTATTTTGTATGTATCTATGCAAGATCATCTTAAAACATCTTTTTTTCCCCTCCTGTAAAAACTTTCTGCATGTGTTGAGGTTTGTTTCTGTTTGTGGTACATCAAACGTGAATAAGTCATGGAGTTTCTGTTTTTAATGGCACATGGGAATGATGTGACTAACGTCGCCTTTCCACTGCTTAGATGCTTTAGAAAAATAAAAATCTGCATAATGATAAATTTTTTGTGAAGACAAATTGCAAGCACCAGAACATTTACAGTAGAGGGGCAAGAATGGTTGTGGTGACAAAAGGCTGCAGTGCCCGGAATCTGGCCTGGACACTGAAGACTAAAATTGGTAAGGACATCATCTCAGGATGGAGGGCAGGAAGGAAGTGTATGTACATCAGCCCTGTGCTGGAAAGCCTAATATTCCCCACCTCAAATGCATTTTAGGTCCTGTAGTTCATAGACAAGACTGTAGCCTCATGTGAATAATCAGAGTAACAGCTCTGATCTTACTAAACAGCATAACTTTTTGCATTTGTTTTTTTCAGGAGCCTCTTAACAGTGAAGATGATGTGAGTGATGAGGAAGGACAAGAACTGTTCGATACAGAAAATGTTGTTGTGTGCCAGTACGATAAGGTAATCTCTACAGAACAGAATCCAAGAATTCTGCTTTCTCTGTTGTTCTTCCTATCAAGTCATAATTTTTAAGTAGCATCTTTGTTACTGTTAAGTACAGGTAGATCTGTAAAGATTATAATGTGAATGGTAATATAGGAATTAGCTATTGTTTGTTCTTAAAACAGGTTTGTGTGACGTGTTTGTACTAAACTTGGTAACGAGTAAAGCTTAGAAAAATTGGGCTGCGTTTTCTTCATCATGTCTTTTTGTGACCTTTAACAAATGGTCAGTCCTCTGGGCCCAGGAGAAGTGAACTATTGTAAGTATGTACATTTGCTGTGGCCATGAATGGAATAAGTAGTCATCATGATTTAGACTTGCGGAAAACTGTTCCTTGATCATTAAAAATATCTCTTCTTGATGATAGAATAGTTATCAGAGGGAGAAGGTTCTTTCTGTGCTGTGCATTCTTTACTGAAATGGCAATGTGGAATGCTTTTGCTTATTTTGCTTTAAATTCTGCTGAACTGTCTTGCCTCCTCTATAATCAGTAATTTCTTCTTGCGTATTTGCCCTGGAATATGCAAGGATTCATCCATGTCTGGAATTGTTTTAAATGTATCTAGAGGATATCAGACACCTTTTTACTGAGGTAGTATGCAGAAAAATTATTCAACGTGGATTTTCTTTCTTTTCCTATGCTAGATTAATTGGACTATGATGACTAAGGATCTTTTTTTAAAGCAGAAAAAAGCTGTAAGCTTGTTGAATAAAAACTTCTACATTGCGAAGAATGGCTTGGTTAGAAAATCATCAGTTATGCCCAGACTATGCTTAGACTTGTCATCAGATTCAACAGCGAATTTAAGACAGAGGATAGTGGTATCAGTATCTACATCCCAGCCATCTGTCTCCTCCAGACTGTAATCCAAAACTGTTAGTTTTGAGGCGGTTCATTAGAATAGTGAGGGACCTCAGAATAGCAGTCAGAAAAGCTTGTTGGGAGCTGCTAAAGCTGAGCAACAGGAAGTACTCTGAAATCCTGACCTTGAAAGTTAAGAATGCGAACTCAGTAGGGAACGGTGTGTATTGTTAACCTCTGATGGTTAACGTGCTCTGAAAGGACTTAATCAGTTATCAAACAATCATCGTTCAGTTTGTCTCTAAAATCACAGGATCACACAGGATCAGCTCAGTTGTTCTGAGCAGTTCCCTCTTGCACAGTGTTGTGCATCAGCTGATGGTGGGTGCCTCTGGAACAACGAGACAAGGGCAAACAGGTAGCGATGCTCACGTAGAGCATTTTACCATCCTTCTGTGAACTGTCTCTTGAGGGACAGATAGTGGCTTTGTATCAAATGGCCAGCAGAGGATTTTTTCCTTAATTTGTCAGAAATTAATTTGATTATTTTTTGAATCCTTGTAAACTTTGTCTTATGACAAGAATTTTCATAAATGGTGTGATGTGTGGAGAATTACCTAGTTTTTAACCCATCGGTTTCACATGATACCTCATAGATCTTTACTTAGAAGAGTGTTTCCTCTTTGCTTTCTTGGTGCCTTTTATGGTATTGCAGATCATCATAACCCTCCTCAGTCATCTCTTTGAAATCAGAGCTATACTTTGCTTGGTTGTTATTTGTACAGCTGTCCAAACATTTGATTATTTTTTCATTCTCCAGATCCGTTTTACTCTTCTGTATCTTATTTGATACAGGTAGATAAGGTTGAGGGAGGATCAGAGCTATTCATAACACAGGTGAACCTTCAATTTATTAGGTGGTGTAGCAATGTTCTGCAATAGTTCATGTGTGCTTTTGACCCCACTGAACACAGAGCTGATGATCTTATGGAAAAGTCTTAGGACATTGGGATCTCATTCCTGACTTGTAATTGTCAACTCAAACCCATCATTTTTCTATCCATGTAAGTTGGAATTGTTTTTTCCATTGTTACTACCTTTATATACATTGAATGCCACCATTGTTTTACTACAAGAGTTAGGGCAGTAATATCGTTCTGCAGCTCTTCAGTAACTGTTCTTTTGTATCATCAGTGATGTTTTGTCATTTTCCAGATGATTAGTGAATTCTTAAACCATGCAGACTCCAGCCAGCACAAATCTCTTCTGGAATGATGTCATTTCACTGTAAAACAGTGTTCTTGCCCTTGTTCTCCCATCTTTATTCAGTTACTTATCTGAGGACCTTCCTCATGGTAGCTCAAATGCTTCTGATGAGGGATTTTTGGTGAATGCCATTTGAAAGGACAAGTAGAGTATATAAGCCAGACCTTTCCTTGTTCATTTATTTGCTGTTGCCGATGACTTTTTAGCTTAAAGTGAGCACAGACCAAACAATAGTACTACTAGTTGATTGAGTGCTATGGTCATATCTGTTCTGGTGCTACTTTACTGTTTGTTTCTACAGCACTAATAGTAGATGATGAGACTTCTTGTCCTTGATGGAAATTGAAAAATTGCAATGGGGTTTCCTTGTTTTTATGCCTTTTGTAAAATTTTCTTAACTTCTTTTAGATTGCCTAATTACACTTTTATGTTTTATCTGCATAAGTTTATCATAATCTTCTCTCTTTTGGACAGCATTTCAGCTTTCTGAAAGATCTTTGCTTGCTTTGAGTATCTTGTTGTCCTGCTGCTTAAGTGTACTGGTGGTCTTTTGCTCCTTCTGATGCCCTTTTTGATAGGTGGCAGGTATTTATCTGCTGTGCTCTGTGCTTACAGTATGTGGGGTTTTTTTTGTTTGTGTGGGTTTTTTGTTTGTGGGTAGGTTTTTTTGGTGTTTTTTTTAGGTTTTTTTGCCAAATTTACTCTTCTAACTTTAGACTGAATTTAGTTCAGTTTCCTTTAGTTTTAAATTAAACATAAGAACATAAATTTAGTTAAACACTCTTTTAGTGGGTTTATTGACTTCTTATTACCCCTGGGAAAATGTTTGTCTTACGTAGTTGCTGTTAGTTCCGGTGATATTTTCTGACTTAAGCCTTGCACACTGTCTTGAACCAAGAAAAGGATTATGCGTTTTGTGGGTTCCTGACTTAACATCTTCATGCAGTAGGACTTGGCTGTATAGTATCTAAAACAACCTTAATGCTACCCATTGATGTTTACTCAGTAGGCATAAGATAATTGAAGTCTTCCAATACTACAACTATTTCTTGTCCTTGTATCTTCTCTGATCTCCTTTACCGCATTGGTCAACCTGCTTCCTGTAGTCAGGTAATATTTGTCTGGGAATGGGCATGAAGAAATAAGTTACTTGTGTATGGAATATTTTTCTAAAGAGAATATGAATAAAACTGTTGTGTTATTCTTTGTCTTATCCTGTGTCAACAGGAATATCTGTTATAACCTGGAGATCCATTATGTCACAGGCTCCCGTAATATGGACTCCCTGGGGAGCAAGAATGTTGTCTTTTTTTTTTAATTTTTTTATTTATTTTTTTTCTTTCTGTCCAGTGTTTCTTGGGTTGTTGCAAATACCTGGACTGATCTCCCAGCTTAATCTTACAAATTTCTTTTAAACAAAGCCTTAAAAGGGACAATATTTTAACTGGGAAGACTATAGGTTAAAGTTGAAGCTTCATGCCATCATCCCCAATACTGGAGATGTTACTTTTCTCACTTGACACTTTTCATGAGAATTGGAATGTAAATCATATACAATGATTCACCATTGAGGAGAAATTATAGAATATAAGACTAATACATATATTCTGTATCAGCTTGTGCATTTTTTACCATAGAGATTTTCAGACTGAAAACCTTGTAAATAATCCCCTTGCCTTTTAACCAAAACTTAACTTTTGGAAACCCAGAGTCAAACTCTAATATTAGAAGTAGAAAGTTGAATAGGCCTGCTATCTATCTATACATAACCTAATCAGACTAGTTTTCATGCAGAATGGAGTTTAGACAAGAGGTGCAAATAATAAAACTTAGTGTTTGACCCTTTCAGGGCTGGTTTAAAACAGTGGTTGAAATGGGGATTTCTGTCTTTCAAGAGGAGTTTCATGGCTGTTGTAATCAAAGATAAGTTAATCAAATTAAAGCAGCACAGGTGGATACATATCTCCTTCCTTTCCAACCACCTCTAAAAATGTGCTGTATGCTTTGGATTTTGGAATGCTTCTGTACTTGCATGGTTTTGTGACAGTTGCTGTCCCTGGTTTAAAAAAGGAAAACAGAAAATACTGCTATATGCATAATTATTTTTTGTTTTTCATAGCTAAATGCAGAATTGATTTTCAAGATATTTGTAGTAATTTAGTAATGTATGTCTAATAGTTATTTTCATTTTTTCTTGCCCTTACAATTTACTTATGCATTGTTACCTATTTCTGATGCAGAGTAATAGTTCAACTTTTTTCCCTGTTTTTAGATTCATAGAAGTAAAAACAAATGGAAATTTCATCTCAAAGATGGCATCATGAATCTTAACGGAAGAGATTATGTATTTTCCAAAGCCATTGGGGACGCAGAATGGTGAAGTTTTAAAAGACAAAACAAAACAAAAAAACTCCCTGTAAAAGGAAAAAAATTCAAAAGCAGGAAAGGTTGATACTTGGACGTATACTCCAATCAAAATGTGTATCTGCACATCAGAAATAAACAATAAACAAAAGTATTGGAACAAAGGTAAAATGTGGCAACAAAGACACTACTTCAGATGAGCAAGCCATGGACTGTAGCAGCTATAGCATTGTCTGGGAGCTGGTTTTGTGTGTTAGGAATACCTTAATTATCAATTCTACATACAGGTACCTACAGCTGGTATTTAGCATGTAAGGCTTTGTCCCACCCCCCACCCCTTCTTCCCTTGATTTAAGACTTTAAAATACTACTTCCACTGATTGAAGGAACTCTTCCCTTTGATAGATTATTAATCTGAAAATGCTTATTGTGTGTACAAATCTTTGCTTTGAACACTTCCTTTTGGTAGTGAGGATGGTCAGAATATTACTTAAACTGTGTGCAAGCTTTGTACAGAAGGGAAAGAATTAAGGTGTTAAATTTTAAATAACTTGTATAAGGAAAATATTTTTAATTCTGATATGCTCATTAATTATTATATCTATTTGTTGTTTTCAATTCAGTTTCCCATAAACAGGTTGTAGTTCCTAGCAGTTACAAAATGGTAAAATGATCATTTATATTTCAAAATTATTTTAATTTCACGTAAGTGATACCTTTTATTTAGGGCTGTATTTTTT